GACGTGTTTGGTAAGTCTGTTCGCGGTGTAGAAGTACTTCAAGCATACCTGGCAGGTGTCGCCGACGATGTAGTTGTCTATGGTGTGCTTGTCCCGGTGGACTGCGTAGACATGCTTGTTGTGTGCTGCTTTGGTCTTGAAGGTAGCACCGCAATGGTAACACATAACTCTGGCTGGTGCTGGTGTCGTGGTTCCTGCTTGTCGGGGTAGTGGCGGCACTCCCAGTGCTGTTGCCGTTAGCGATAGGTCTGCCCGCAGCTGGTCCTGCGCTGCTCGGTCGGAGGATGAGTCTTGTGCGCGCTTGTAGGTGCTCGTAATAAAAGACTTGACCGTGTGCATGTCGTTGCGTGCAGCCTTGATGAAGTCGCTGATGTCCTTGGGTGCGGTGGTGATGCGGGTGCCGTCGCAGTGCTGTCGGCATGTGTGGATGTCGTTGTTGATGGTTTGCGTCCAGGTGCCGTTGACTTCGATGTCGTAGTCAATGAGTGCCTGCGTTTCGTACGGGCATCCTTTTATGAGTCGCAAAAGTTCTCGCAGTCGTAGCCATCGTAGTCGGTCTTCGAGGTTCGGTAGTTGAGCACGTGCCAGTATCTGCTCGTTGGTGATGTGCTTGTCCTTCATGGCCTTGTGGGTGATTCCTGTTGCCTGTCGAGCCGCAGTGACGTAGGCTGTGTTGATCCTGTGGTAGTCCCGCGCTGTTGTGATGAGCCATGTCCCCGCGTTAAATAGCAGTCTTGAATAGCCGAATGACTCGAGGTAGTGGATCTTAGTCTGGATGGAGATGGCTTGTCGTTGGAACAGGGTGCGTCGGAGTGGGCCTGTTGTCTCGCGTAGCGCGATGGTGCGTGCTGCCGTCTCCTGGCCCATGTCGTTCCTGTCGTTGAACATCGCGCCCAGCAGCTTGGTGCTTCTAGCGATGGTGACGCAGAGCCCCATGTCAGTGATGCTGTGGTTGTCCCGTATCATGGTCCGTGTAGCTCTTTTGCCTGCGACGGTGTTGGGGTAGACGATGAAGCTGGACTTCTTGGTGTTGATCGGGAGGCCTCTTCGCAGTGTCGCGCGTATGAGATGTCCCCACATCTTGGTGATGAGTGCATGGATCATGGTGCCGTCTGCCGTGGATGCAGCCGCCTTGACGTCGTCTACGAAGGATGTAGAGGACAGTGTAGCGTTGTGGTCGCAAGCTCGTAGACGTGGTGGGGCATGCGGTATGTCGAAAGTCGCTCCATCCTCGACGGCGTGGTCGTGGTAGTCTCGCGTGACGTCCGCCATGAGCATGTTGAATGTGAAGTCGGCTGTTGGTACGCCTGGGCGTGTACCAAGTCGTGGTGCTGCGTAGCTGCACTGGTCGTCGATATAAAACCAGGTCCCAGTGTGTGCCTCTGTGAGCATGTCGACAATGTGTTGGTTGTCCACGTGTTGGTTGACAATGCCGTTGTCGGTCATGAGGGCCTCGATCGCGGGAAGCATGACGTGGGGGATGTCGATGTGGGCGAGAAGGTCGTCCAGCTGCTCCTTGGTCTGGGTGAAGTTGTACACGAGCTGGTTGACTACCTTGTGGAAGGCTGCTTTCAAGTCTATCATGATGATGACCATGTCGTGCTTCAAGTGGTGGGCGGTGTTGGATAGGAGCCGCATCGTCATGTGGTTGATGTCCGTGCTGTAGTGTTGTCGGCCTCCCGTCTGAGTGGAGAAGAGCATCGTGGGGATGAGGTCCTTCATGCATTGTCTGATGTATCTGTAGTGGTGCTTGATGACGGTGTTGGCTAACGTGATTGACCGCTGGTTGTTCAGGTCCTCCTCGCTGCCCTTGCCCTTCCAGAAGTACGTCATCCTGGACCCCTTGAGAGCTACGCCCTCCCTGCAGAAGAGCGCCGCTTTGGTGATGATCGGATGCATGTGTCGGGCCATCTGCCGTGGGGCGATCTTGGAGAAGTCGTCGGATACACGATCTGGTCCTGGTGCGCGGTGAGGTCTCGCTTTGTGAAGAATGTCGGTGAGCTCATAGATGCTGGCGAAGTTGTTGACGTGACGCGTTCTCCTGGGCTGGGCTGGGTCGGTCCTGTCCTCTTTGGCGTTGTATCTGTCAACCACGTCCTGAGCGGAGAGGATGTCGGCTGCTTCGTTGTGTCCGAAGTGTCGTGTGGCTGCGTCGGCCTTGCTCGTGGAGCTGTCGAGGACAGTGCCATCTGCTGCGTTCATCATGGGGTATGCTTGCCGCTTACGTCTCTTGCGGCCGCCGAATAGCAGGAGCTTCTTGGTGTACTTCCACTCGGTGTGCGTGTCGCCAGTGCGCTTTGCATCCATTGCCTTTTGTGCTTGCTCTTCCAAGAACGCGTCGTAGTCCCTGTCGGTCATCTTGACGATTACTTTTCTCGTGGCGTCGATCCATTGCCGTACGTGTTGTAAAAACCCATGATAGTCGGGGTTGTAAGGGAAGTTCGCTGCAGCGTAGTTGAGCATGTAAGTCTCGCAGTAAGTAGTATGGATCGCCTCGGACGTCATCTGAAGGGTCGGGTCATTGTGGATGTCGTTGATGAGCCT